TCCCCCTATATATTCGAGTTGGATTTACCACTTACTATATGGGTTACTTCACCCATTATAAAGGCACTTCTTAATTTTCCTTATATTAGGTAAGCTAGGCTTATATATTTATAGAAGAGTTTTATTATCTATCTCCTTTCTATATTACTTTAGTCACTTCCTACTCTAGTGAATGTTACCATCCATGCTGGGGCAATCCTAGAAATTACTTTTAGGAAGTCGTCTATAACTAGTATACGCTATATTATATCCCCTATCTTAAGGGCTTTGGTGTAAGTCGCCGCTTAGTTATATTTACTAAGCTATAACTCCTAATTTTATAGGCTTCTTATAGGCTTTAGGGCTTTATAGTACCTTTCTCGTACCCTTCTAATTTCCTTATTAAGGTCCACTCCTACTGCCGCCTAGAGGTTTATAATCTAATTACGGAGCGTTCTATGTTCCTTAAAGTAGCTTACTTAAAGGTATAGGCTAACTATTATATTTAGGTGTTTAATTATTGCTATAATATTCGTGTATTTATCTTAATAGTTTCGTTCGCGTATTCTATATAAGTCGAAGACTATCCTAAACTCTTATAAGTCCCTATTATATGCCTCTTTTCCTTCCACTAAAAGCTCTAAGTATTACGTTGGTATAATTAGGGTTTATGTGATGGAATTAACGGGATCAACCATGCCCTATATAGTTGCGTAAGCGCTGCCTCTTATAGTCCTTATTAATATGGATAAGGCTGATGGCGTGTTTCTTCGAGTAGCAGCTGGTTTATAGTTGGATACTAGTGGTAGGAGAGGTTCGGTCAGCTTTATACTTAGTTTAATGTCGCCTTTAGGGTCTATAATATCCCATATTTCTAGGGCTTCGCATTGCATCTTGATTTGGTAATACTAGGGGATCCATTTACTAGGGTCGCTAAGAATGACCGTTACGTCCCTCTAGTTTAGGTTGGATGCCATTATTATTGATTTCGCTGCTTATTATAGAGGCACTAAGACTCTTAATTATTAGATGTCACGTATTATGTGAATTCTAATGAAATTTGAATAATGGATTTAATAAAATTAATAGATTATACCTATCTTATCACATTATGCGTCTTAGGAGTTATTTTTATTCTTATGTTCTCCCTTACTCCCATCGGCAGGCTCCTTGTCCCACCTCGGGAGCCAGCCACCTCGTTTTGGTTACGGGAATAGGGCTTCTATCATTTAACAAATTGGTAGGTTAGGTGGGTTGGTAGGTATTAGAGGTTATTATTATATTAGGTAATTAGCTTGGCGTATTTATTAATATTAGACGGGAATTTGGCTACTACTATTATACGTTAGA